GGTTGATAATGCCAAAAGGGGGAAGGAAGGATAGTTGAGAAAACTTGTTTTTCAAAAACGTTTTTCCGCTTATTACTCCGAATTTTTTTTACTGCACTTCTCTAACCATGCAAGGGGAATTAATTTAAGGCAAGTATTTCTTGAACTCATACTTTGCTTTTTCTCAACTATGTTTGTCATTATCAAAAAGGGGGAAATTGTTGGACATGAGTTCAAACCCCTTTATTATTTTTCTGGAATATTTTTGTTTTGATGAATGACAAACAGGATGTTTAAATTCAAACGGCAATTGAAAATTTATTTTTCGTATTGAGAAAAGCAAAGATGTGTTTCAAGAAATTTACGGCGATAAAAATCAACGCTCATCCCCTACGCAGATTTTTGAAGTGAAGTGAAGACTCCGAAGAATTTTTTTTGGGTCTAGGAATTTGTGTAAACTTGACAATAACTTTTGCATAAACAAATTGATTTTGAGGGATAAAAATTATTATTTTCTAAGTCAGTTGAAAATTCATTTTTTCTCAATCTAAAAAAATTTTACCGAGTCAGTTTCAAAATAGTGTGTCAAAATTTCATAATTTTTTTTAAAGATTACACATTCTTTTGTGGTAAGAACAATATACTTTAAATATTTTTCGTGTACATCGTTTGACACACAAAATGATTTTTGGACTCACTTTTACTCCCTTGTTCAAATTCATTGAATAAGAGAGGAGGAGCGCCTTCCTGATTCCCGTTTTCTCAAACAACGAGTTTAATCCAATTTGCTTTCAATCGCAACTGCCCTGGGACCCTTTGTGTTTGCGCATTATTTCCTTATTAATCAATTAATCGTGCAAAATTAATCGATTAATTGCTTAGCGCTGGATTATTCTAGACTACAGCACTAATCAATTTTTGTTCCCACTTTAATCGATTAGTTCGGACAGAGCTGACTAATCGATTTTATTTTCATCTTTAATCGATTAGTTCCACTCTTCTTTAAAGACTTTTTCTTCTCTGTGCACTTTAATCGATTAAAAACTATACTTTGATCGATTAATATTGTCTGGTACCAATTCTCAGTTTCTTTCAGTGGCTCCAATGGTTCTATCTTCTTTTGCCTATTTAATCCCTCATTCTTGTTCATTTTGAGACACAACTCTTGCACTCCAATATCTCCATTAAGTCATATTCAATTCTTGCTTCCATCTTCCTCATCAAAATATTATTTTGAGAGTTAGAAATATTTTCATTGAGTGCTAAAGATATTGTCATCCATAGAGCTTTCATATTTCAAACACTACTTGCTTAACTGTGTGAGCTTTCATTCTTGTGTTGTAAACTCAATCTTTTGAGTGTTTCTAAGACTTGTGTGATTCAAGTCTTGTTGTTGTTAAGACTTGTGTGACTCAAGTCTTGTTGTAAGAAGTTGAGGCTTGTGTGATTCAAGTTCTCGAGTTGTATCGGTTTTTTCAAGCACCCGTTGAAGCGTGAAGTTTAGTAGAACCTTTGAGAGAGTCTCTCGGAGGACTGGACTAGCCACGAGGTGGTGAACTATTATAAATCACGGTGTACTCCTTTCCCTTGCTCTTTACAATTTTCTTGCGATTTTTATATTATTATCACACTCGTGATTTACGCACATTCTAGCGAACAACTCTATTCACCCCCCCTCTAGAGTTGCACTTTTGTCTAACAGAAAGAACATTAGGATGAACAATGGTCATGTTAGAGAACCTAGAAACAATTTTATATATATGCATAAACAAAACTTTTCTCAAGCTAGGATCAATGAATATAGAAAACCTAGCAAGTATTATCAACCTAGGAGAATGCATAATCGAAATGTTATTTGTCATTATTGCAATAGGGTAGGACATATAGCCCTGGTTTGCTTCACTAGGCATAGGCATTGCACTCAAAACCAATCACACTACGAACGTGCACCTAAATCTTTTTAAATTGATTTGTAGGTGTGCTTGAGGGTATCTAGTGTACTTTGGTACCTTGATAGCGGATGCCCCAAGCACATGACCGGAGATGCATCCAAATTCTTGCAAATCAAACCAACTAAAGGAGGAAATGTTGTCTTTGGAGACAATAGCAAAGGCAAAATAATCGGCATTGGTTCGGTTGGTATAAATGAAACCTCCTCTATTGATAATGTGTTATTAGTTAAGGGTCTTAAACACAATCTCTTGAGCATAAGCCAATTGTGTGACAAGGGAAATCGTGTGACCTTCGATTCCAAATCATGCATGGTAGAACGTCTTAGTGACAATAAGATGATTCTTCGTGGTGATAGAATCGATAACATTTATATGGTTAACTTAGATGAATCCCCCTCCAACTTTGCCAAATGTCTCATGAGTAAGGAGGACGATATGTCTCTATGACATCGTAGAGTAGCTCATGTTAACATGAACCTTTTGAACAAATTAGTTTCACAAGACCTAGTTGTTGGTCTCCCAAAACTCAAGTTTGAGAAGGATACCATTTGTGATTCATGTCAAAAGGGCAAGCAAGTAAGGGTCTCATTTAAGTCAAAAAATGTTGTATCTACAACAAGGCCCCTACAACTTTTGCACATGGATCTCTTTAGACCATCAAGAACAAAAAGTTTTGGGGGGAACTATTTCGCCTTTGTGATTGTTGATGACTACTCTCGATTCAAATGGACATTATTTCTAACTCATAAAAGTGAGGCATTTCATGTTATCAAAACTTTTCTCAAAAAGGTTCAAAATGAAAAAGGCTTAACTGATATATCTAGGCTTAGGTTTGGAAGGGGGAATGGGATGGCCGAGTACAATGAGGGAGAAGAAAAGGTTTATACTGAGATGGCTTAGGGGTGTAATGTGTGGGAAGAAGGAGGGCTGTTTGGTGTATTTTAAGGGAGAGGTCCGAAAAGTGGAAAGGAAGGAGAAAAGGAGGGGATAAAACCAAGTAGGTTTTAAGAGATATAACACACTCTTATCCTCACTTGGGGTTAAATATAGAATTCAATTAAGATATAACACACTTAATTAAATATCTAGAACCTAACACTCACACTTAAGAGAACCAACCTTAAGATATAGAAATTAGGGTTTGAAAACAGAATACAACAAGTGTGTCTCTATCTTAAAATGAAGAATAATATGATGAGCCTTACAAGAGGCCTATGGACGAAATTTAAAGGCACACATACATAGGAAACTACTAAGCTACTTCTTCCACAAATCCTTGACAATGCAGCCATGTTCTTGAGTCCTTTCATGGAATAAAATTAGGGATTTTTTTGGATCAAGGGTTGTCAACAAATGGGGTCAAGGATCATGAATGAATATTCATGAATGAAGGGGGGTTTCGGCCATATTAGAGGGCAAAAGGGATGGGTGATGTGTGCGCATTTTGGCTTAGTTAGTGAGGTCAAATTCTGGCAGTTGGGATGGTGAGTCATTCGGCCATAGTGGGGGGCAGTGGGTGTGAGAAATATGGATTTTATATGGTGGTTTATATGGTTGTTTAAGGCTCAAAGTAATCACAATTGTCGCTTGGCTTGTTGTGGTTGTTATTTCGGCTGTACTAGGGGATAAGAGGGGGACAATGTTGGTTGGATGTTGGGTGATGAATATGGTTGTTTGGCTTGGTGTGTTTCGGCCCTAGCTTAGGGAAATGAAAGGGGAAAATGACTTATGGTTTGATATTGTTTTTTGGCACATAATGTGTTAGGTTGATGGAGTGACTCAAGTAGGGTATGTGGTGGGATAGTTTCGGCCAAGGGGAAGGAAAAAGAGGCTGGGGTTTGTAGTTTTCTTTTTGCTTTTGGGTTTGGTTTTGGGGCAGGGTATATGGCTGTTTTAGGGTGGAGATAGGCTCAAGGTTATAATGGTTAAGTAATATGGTTTGGGGCTGGAGAAGTCATTCCAGAAAGGATCGTAACACTTAGACCTGATTCCACTGATTTGTTTAAGGACTTGAGGATCATTTGTAGTACTCATGTATACAACATCCTCCCCTTCTTCATAAGAGTTTGACCTCAAACTCGGATTTTCCTCGGGATCAAAATATGGACTGAGATCTTTCATGTTAAATGTAGCCGATACTCCATAATCTCTCGGAAGGTTGATTTTGTAGGCATTCTCATTGATTTTCTCTACAACTTCGAATGGACCATCAGCTCTTGGCAATAACTTGGACTTGCGCTTTGTTGGAAAATGTTCTTTTCTGAGATGAATCCACACTAAGTCTCTGAGCTGGAAACTCGTGAGCCTCCTTCCTTTATTGATGTGTGCGCTCACCTTTTCATTCATTGCCTCAATCTTCTCTCGAGCCTTTCCGTGTAGTTCTTGAATCTCCTTGGATCGTTTGTCAGCTTCCCAACTATATTGTCCTTTTCCCATGATAGGGTCAAGCTCAAGTGGGGTGAGGGGGTTCGAACCATACACGACCATAAACGGGGATATTCTAGTTGTTTTGTTCGGGGTCTTATTGTAAGCAAACTCAACATGCGGTAGAAGCTCTTCCCATTGTTTGATGTTTTTCTCGAAGAAGGGTTCCAAGTGTTCGGTTAGTAACTTCCGTTTGACCATCTGTTTGCGGGTGGCTTGAGGTGCTGAATTTGAGTTTCGTGCCTAGCTTCCGCAAAAGCGTCATCCAAAAATGACTAAGGAACTTTGGATCCCTATCCGAGACCATGCTTCAGGGAACGCCATGGAGTTTAACTATCTCTCGGAAATAGAGATCAGCCACTTGTGACGCGTCGTAGGTGGTGACACACGGAATGAAGTGAGCCATCTTCGAGAATCGGTCCACTACCACCATGATTGAATCTTTTCCTCTTTGAGTCTGGGGCAGCCCGGTAATGAAGTCCAAACTAATGTCTTCCCATGGAGCATAAGGGACGGGCAGTGGTAAGTGTGCTCCTTGCGGCAAAGCATGAGCTTTCGCAAGGTGGCAGGTGTGGCATCTCTTGATAAAGTGTTCAACGTCTCTTTCCATTTTTGGCCAAAAGTAGTGTTCCTTCATCATCAAATAGGTTTTGTTGATTCCAAATTGACCAGCTAGGCCGCCACCATGGATCTCTTCTATGAGGGTCTGGTGTTTCTGGAAATCCGTTAAAAGTTTTAAAAAAAGAAGAGTCAATTACCCATCGATGGGGAGAAGCACCCATCGATGGGAAGAGGGGTCCTGGAAAAGTGAAGACTTCCCTCCCAGCGATGGTATAACGCACCCATCGCTGGTTCCCCCTGATTTCAAGAATTCTTCACTTCGAACCGTTCCTGCAAAAAAGAGTTAGAAAACCCTCCGACGCTCAAGTTAATACACGGTCAAGCAAAGAAAAAGAAGTGATAAAATGCACAAATTAGATCATCGTGGAGTCAAGGATTCCTCGAAATCAATGCCTTCTTTTTTATTGTAGCCTTTAGCTACGAGCCTAGCTTTGTTTCTAGTGATTATTCCATTTTCATCAAGTTTGTTACGGAACACCCATTTCGTACCAATAACCGTACGATCATCGGGTCTTGGCACCAATTCCCAAACGTCATTCCGTTTGAATTGGTTTAGCTCCTCTTGCATAGCCAAGGTCCAATGTTCATCGTTTATTGCTTCGGAAATGGTTGTAGGTTCAATTTGAGAAACAAAAGCCATGTGTCCTACGGTGTCCCTAAGTGAGTTACGAGTACTTACCCCGCGGTTGATGCTACCGATTACCTGGTCAAGCGGATGGTTCTTGTTTGTTCTCCATNATTGTAGCCTTTAGCTACGAGCCTAGCTTTGTTTCTAGTGATTATTCCATTTTCATCAAGTTTGTTACGGAACACCCATTTCGTACCAATAACCGTACGATCATCGGGTCTTGGCACCAATTCCCAAACGTCATTCCGTTTGAATTGGTTTAGCTCCTCTTGCATAGCCAAGGTCCAATGTTCATCGTTTATTGCTTCGGAAATGGTTGTAGGTTCAATTTGAGAAACAAAAGCCATGTGTCCTACGGTGTCCCTAAGTGAGTTACGAGTACTTACCCCGCGGTTGATGCTACCGATTACCTGGTCAAGCGGATGGTTCTTGTTTGTTCTCCATATACTATTGGAAGCTCGGTTGCTTCTTCTTCGTGTTCCTCTTGTTCCTCTTCTTTCTCCTGATTTTCTTCTTCATCTTGGTTAGTCGCTTGAGGTATCTCCCCAGTTTGCGGCTGTGTGTTGATGTATATTCCCGTGTTGTCTTCATCGTCATCAACGTGTATTCTTTCTAATGAATCTGCAAGATCATCACAAATATCCTTTCTCGCCAAGCGAGGATTATCTTCGGAAAATACAATGTGAGGAGACTCCTCAATAGTCAAGGTACGTTTATTGAAGACTCTATAGGCCTTGCTACGAAGTGAGTAACCCAGAAAAATTCCTTCATCTGACTTTGCATCAAATTTGCCTAAGTTGTCTTTGCCATTGTTATGAATAAAACATTTGCAACCAAAGACTCGAAGATGAGAAAGGTTTGGCTTTCTCCCTTTGTATAGTTCATAGGGCGTTTTCATGAGTATCGGTCGAATAACGGCTCGGTTTAACACGTAGCTCGCGGTACTCACGGCATCCGCCCAAAAATACTTAGGGATTTTTGCCTCATTGATCATAGTTCTAGCCATCTCTTCGAGACATCTATTTTTACGTTCCACCACTCCATTTTGTTGTGGTGTACGTGGGGCTGAGAAGTTATGATCAATGCCAAGTTCGTCACAAAAATCTGAGAACAAATTTCGTTCGAACTCTCCCCCATGGTCGCTTCTTATGGCTACTAGGTTGTCTCTTTTTCATTTTGAACTTTCTTTAAGAAATTTTTGAAAACGTGAAATGCCTCACTTTTATGAGTTAGAAACAAGGTCCATGTAAACCTAGAGTAGTCATCGACAATCACAAACGCAAAGTAATTGCCACCAAAACTCTTCATTCTAGAAGGACCAAAGAGATCCATGCGTAAAAGTTGAAGCGGTCTAGACGTTGAAACAACGTTTTTAGACTTAAACGAAGCCCGAACTTGCTTCCCCTTTTGACATGCATCACATATGGTGTCTTTTTCAAACTTAAGTTTTGGGATGCCAATTACTAAGTTTTGTGAAACCAATTTGTTCAAAAGGTTCATGTTCAAATGAGCTACCCTTCGGTGCCATAGCCAAGTGTCTTCTTCTTTACTCATGAGACACTTAGCAAAGTCGGAAGGAAATTTGTCTAAGTTAACCATATAAATGTTATCGATTCTATCACCACGTAGAATGACCTTATTGTAACTAAGGCGTTCTACAGTGCATGATTTTGAATCGAAAGTTACACGATTTCCCTTGTCACATAATTGACTTATGCTCAAGAGATTGTGTTTAAGACCTTTGACTAGCAAGACATTATCTATAGAGGAGTCTTCGGACTTACCTACTGAACCGATGCCAATAATTTTTCCCTTGCCATTATCTCCAAAAACTACGTTTCCTCCTTTAGCAGGTTTGATTTGTAGGAACTTGGATGCATCTCCAGTCATGTGCTTAGAGCATCCGCTATCAAGGTACCAAAGTACACTTGACGCCTTCAAGCACACCTACAAAAAATGATTTAATAAGATTTAGGTACCCAAGTCTTTTTGGGTCCTTGAGTGTTAGGTGCAAAGTGGTAGTGTGATTCATTTTGTGCCCAATGCCTATGCCTAGTAAAGCAAACGGGAGCTATATGTCCTACCCTGTTGCAATAGTGACAAACTACATTTGGGTTGTGCATCCTCCTAGGTTGATAATAGTTGCTAGGGGGCCTAACCATATTCATCCTATTTTGAGAAAATATTGGTTTTTGAAAATTCTCTCTTCTAGGTGTCCTAGCATTATTTTGTCTATTTGAAAAATTATTTTTATACACAAAATCGTTTTGATAATTTTTCTTAGGTTGTCTAGCATGAACATTTTCATTCCTAGGTTTTTGTCTAGGCTGTCTAGTGTCTTTAGGTTGACTAGATTTTCTATTATCCTGATTTTTAACTTTCTTGTGTTGAGCCTTAGTAGGTTGTCTAGGTGTATGCTCAACGTTTTTATTCTTAAATTCATTTTTATCAAAACCTATTCCTTCCTTAGAAAAATGCAGTGTCTAGGAGTAAATTGAGATCCTTGTGTGGTGTATTAAACTTCTTAACCGTACTCTCAAGTTTTGCAACTTTTTCTTTTAAAGCTTTGCAAGATTCACATTCACTTGAAGAGCTTTCCGGTTTGTCAGCACTTCTTTTACCATAAAATTTATTTTCTTGTTTTAACTTTTCATTATCTTTTTCTAGTTTTTCAAAATCATTTTCAAGAATTGAAAGACGTTTCTTTAATGATTTGTTGGTTTTAGAAGCGCTAACAAATTCATCATAAAGTTCTTGAAGAGCTTCTTGCATTTCTTCAAAAATATAAGAGTCGGAAGAAGGGGTACATACCTCTTGTACCTCGTTGACGTGGTCTTCATGTGCCATGAGACAGAAATTGGCGGCTTCTTCCTCTTCTTGATCCGTTGACTCCTTCCCGGAGTCGCCACTGTACCGCCGCCTGCCCAGTCAAGACCGCCGTTTTTCCTCCAGTCAACAACGGTCGACCGCCGGTCAACCGCGGTCAACCGTCACGGTGATTCTCCAAACTCGACGCGATGAATTTCGCGGTCGACCGTCACGCCAAACGGTCGACCGTTCCGAGCCCCGTAGCTTAATTAAATGATATTTTTATCAGATTACATCCAAATAAAATAAAGTATATTTATCCAATCATGTTGTTTACAAATTGTTCATATCATGTGATTCATTTCATCATTCATATTGAAACATATCACATCATGTGCATGCGCAAGAGATCAGGCTGAAGTGCGTCTCTTGTAGTTGTGATTGTGCGGGACTTAGCAGTCCGACATCACGGACCGGGCTTAGTGTACGTACATGGTACTTAGATTTTCGAGTACCACCCCTATTTCTGCGTGAGTTCGTCGTACCAAATGGGCGAATCTCATAGTTCAAGGCTCGTCCTTGCGACTTAGAATCATACAGCATGAAGTCATCATCAAGTAAAATCATCATGACTATGTGTGACATCAATTACGCATCATGTTATCATCATCAAGTACATCAATTACATAGATGTCATGTAATCATCATCAAGAACAAGTATATATGGATTATATGAGTATCATGTAATCATCCTCACAAGCAAATTGATTAAATGTGCCATCATGTAATTATCATCAAAAATTTATCATCATGAATCATCAAATTGACCATATGATATAATGTGCCATATCATGAATATTATTATACAT